GAGTCTCACGGTCTCTCCTGCCCGGGCTGGCTTTGAACCGCGATCCTCAGATCTCAGCCTCCTGAGTAGCTAGGATTACAGGAGTGAGCCACCGGCGCGTGGCAATAAACAATCTTTTAGAAGCAGTCTTCCCTTTCCCCTCCCCCTCCATGCCTGGGGACCTAAGTCAGAACCTTGTTCATGTCAGGTAAGTGCTGAACCTGATATTAGCAATTTTGAAACAAACATTACCATGAACTGTGGTCACTTTGTAGTACAAGCAGTAGATCACTAAAATTTATTGGTAGCCTAGGGGAAACTTCATATTATTTGACTAACATCTTCTCTCATATCCACTCACTTCCCACCCCCAACTTTCTACTTTGTTTCTATTGTATTGATACTTTAGATTTAGGTAAGGAGAGGATACATTATTTGCCTTTTTGTGTCTGGCTTACTTACCTAACATAGTTCCCTTGTTGAATGCTCAAAGCCAGGAAAAGCTATGTTTGTAAGCACAAACCTCTTCCTTGGCACACGTGCCTGGATCTGGGTGGAGAGTGGGAAGTGTGCTCAGAAAGATGACAGGACTTGCCATTTGCAGCCCTCAAGTCCTGGCACTGGTGTTCAGCTCACCTGGTGGAGCTCAGGGCCTGGCATGCCCACTGGTACAGTGGGCTTTCATATATTTTCATTAATGGAGCATTAATTAAGTGCAGAAAGTTGAACAACCAAGCCAGTGGAACAGACCACTGAATGAATGGATTGACCCCCCCCCCCCCGCCCCTTTTCCTGTATCATAGGAATTGTGGACTGCTCTAGGATTGGACAAGTTCCTCCTGCCCAGCAGTGAGTCTGTCTGATGACCAAGACACGACAAACCTGGAACATTCTCCTTTTCTGGATGGCTTAGGATAAAGATTTTCCCTGCTGACCTTTTAGCTTTTGTTTTACTTTGACTATTCTCTGTATATAAAACACATCATCATTTTTTTTCTCTCTTCACTATTTAGTAAGTAGGCCACTAAAAAATATATTTGCTTGCCATTGTGGGTGGAGTTTTGTATTCTGCATAATTTACTGAAATCTAACATACATACATATAGGACATAAAGGGTCTGGTGGGAGTATCAGGGTCTCCCAATCTTTGTGTTGGGATAGTGATGGTCAGTCCACTTCACACTCACCTTGTTTGATCAATGTGTTTTTCTGCAGGTGTCAGCCGGACAGTTGGTGGTAGGGACCCTTCCTTGGTGGTAGCTTTTGTCTGTAAGGTAAGAGGCTGTCCACCCTGGGCACTAGGGGAGTGTGTGGCTGGTGGCCAGCTTGTGGTATGCTCTGGACCTTTGGGGACCACTTTTTTCAGTAATTTCAAAGTAGTGATTTCTAAATTGACCTGGGCCAAGAAGGCACTCTGATTCTTTATGACCTCAACTACATTAGAACATAACAAAATCAATCTTAGAGAAACAGCAGAAGTTACCAGGGGCAGTGGTGGACTCAAGGGCAGGGGTATGGGGGCGATGAGGTTAAGGGATATTGTTATATCCTTTCTAATTTTCTGCCAGTCCTTTCCTTATCAGCTTGTGGATTATTTTGCACACTAATCGGTGATTGGTCCTCTTAGAACTCAGAGCTAGCTAATGGCAACTGTTTGAGTTTTCTTCCTATCAGTTGGGCCTTTATTCAGATTCCTCAATTTGATTTCCTTAGACTATCCTCTGAGGCTGCAGTCTCTGTAATAAGTGATGTTCACACACTGAGGCTGCACTCCTTCCTCTACGACAATAGAGAAGTCTAGAACCTGGTCATGAGACATCAGGATCAAATTTGAGACTAAGAATCACCTGTTCATGAAAGTTAAGAGTAAACACTAACAGTTCATCAAGGTTTAAACAAGAAAGCGAACGTTAGCTGTGATTCAGCAGAGAGCTGTTTTTGACTTGTTTTGATTATTGTATGTGAAATATATAGGTCTCAAAATGTTTAGACAGAAGATTAGCAAGAGAGTGATGGTGGAATCAGAATGGTGCTAGGTTTTGTGCTAGAATGGTGGTTTGCCTTCTATCATAAGAAGAACAGATTGGGAATTGGTTACTGTAATTCTTCTCCATATAACAGCAACAGCACTACACTACCAGATGGTCGAAGCATACTTTTTCTTTTTGGTCACCACCAGTGTCAACTGCAGTATTATGTTATGCAGAATTCTAATTGGTCATTGCTTGTTAGGCCATGTTTTGGTGATGTTTCTTTAGCAGTTGGTGAATATAGGATAACACATAACCCATGTCTCCTGTTTCTTCCAAAGGGTACAGATAGGTAAAGATCCTTGTCATTAACTAGGATGCAGTAAAGGGTTACATTTTATTAAATATATAACAAGATAATGTTGGGGAATATAGCACAGTTTTAAAGTCATGTAGGTCTCAGTTCTAAAGCATCTCAAAACAAACAACCTCAGACTAGCATAATGCCTTCTGAAAATAATCAACTGCATTTTAACAAAGAAAATACCCTTAATTACAAACACTAGAAGCACTTTTTTGGGGGGGGGTCCGGTTGTGGGGCCTGAACTCTGGACCTGGGCGCTGTCCCTCAGCTCTTCAGCTCAAGGCTAGCGCTCTACCACTTGAGCCATAGCACCACTTCTGGCTTTTTTCTTTCTGCTTATGTGGTGCTGGGGAATCGAACCCAGGGCCTCATGCCTGCAAGGCAAGCGCTTTACCACTGAGCCATCTTCCCAGCTCTAGATGCACTTTTTAATGAAGTTGATTCAACCAAGCTTCTTCGCCAGGCACTGAGATTACATTTGTGTTTCAGCTGCACATGAAGAAAGGGAACTTCCTGGTGCTTAAAGCGAAGGAGCTGGGCCTCCCCGTGTGAGTGGCGGGTGAGGGTGGGGCTGCTGGTGGCCAGGAGAGTCTGCCTGTGCTCACAGATAGCGCCTCTCATGGAGGGCCTACCCTTTGTTTCAGGGGGACAGCCGCCATCGCCCCCATCATTGCAGCCGTCAAGGACGGGAAGAGCATTATTCATGAAGGAAGAGAGGTAAGACATGGCTCTTGCGAGGATTCTGCAGTTGCAAGTGGACCGGGCAGAGCCCCTGTCTAACCAGGTCTTCAGACACAACTTTCTTGTGTGTGCCAGCACTGGGGCTTGGACTGGACCTTGTGCTCTTGTTTGTTAGCTTTTTTTATTCAAGGTTGGCATTTACTACTTGAGCCACACCTTGTGTCTGGCTTTTTCCAGATTAATTGGTTAATTAGAGATAATTAGGTTTTGTTTGAGTTCAAGCCCCACGACCGACCAAACAAACAAACAAAAAAAGTCTCATGTGCTTTTCTTCCCAGGCTGATTTCAAATTGAGATCCTCAGATCTCAGGCTCCTGAGTAGCTAAGGTTACAAGCATGGCCATCAGATATAACATTTTTTAAAAATTTATCTTTGGTACTGTACATGGGGCTTGAACTCAGGGCCTGGGTGCTGTCCCTGATTTTTTGTGCTCAAGGCTAGTGCCCTACCACTTGAGCCAGCTCTACTTCTGGCTTTTGGATGATTAATAGGAAATAAGAATCTCATGGACTTTTCTACCTAGGCTAGCTTTGGACTGTGATTCTTAGATCTCAGCTTCTGGAGTAGCTGGATTATAGATGCCTAAGCCACTGATACCTGTCTCAGATACACCTTTTTTTTTTCCCCCTGTGGTTGTGGGCCTTGACCTCAGGACCTGGGCTGTCCCTGAGCTCCTTCTGTTCAAGGCTACCACTTTGAGCCATAGCATCAATTCCAGGTTTTGAGCAGTGTATTAGAGATAAGAGTCTCATGGGGACTTTTCTGCAATCCTCAGATTTCACCCTCCTGAGTAAGATTACAGATGTAAGCCACCGGCACCAGCTTTCAGATACAATTTCTGAAGGAAGTGGGATCTTATGAAATTCTGTCACGGGCTCCAAGTTGGAGGTCTTATTCAGACATGTATCCATCACTGCTATGCCCAGACATTTCTGTAGATTGTTCAGCATCTGGTAGACTTGCAGGGATGGATGGATTCCTGTCCTCATATGAGCTCAGGACAGTGTCCAAAACTTGCCATATGGATGGGCTTTGAATGCCTGGCCTCAAGGAATACACCACATTCTTCAAGATGTTTTTTCTGGCATCAAAAAGAAACCTTGAATGACCAGCCTCTGCTCCTGTCACTACAGGATTGAGCTGTCTTCCAGGTTGTCTACTTGGTTAGTACAAACAGCAGGAAGTTCAGGTAGAGCCCTGTTTTGCTGGTGTCATGTCCTGTGTAGTTGACTATGGGGTGTGTGATGTTAGCAGCTGTCTCAATCCGTTTGTTTTTAGAACTAAGCTTTGACTGTTTTGGAAGCGCATCCTGACCCTGATGAATTGGTTTATTTGGTTTTGCAGATTTTGGCTGAAGAGCTGTGTACACCCCCAGATCCTGGTCTTGCATTTATAGTGGTTGAATGTCCAGATGAAGGCTTCATCCAGCCCATCTGTGAGAATGATACCTTTAAGAGGTAAAGAGGAGGGTGTGCAGGTGGAAGAAGGAAAAAGGCAGCAAAGCGGCCACTACTCAGTGGGATGGCCACCTGTGGGAAGAGAGCTGGTCACTGGGTTGGAAATGCCCATTCATCCCACCGGCACTTTTTACCTGGTAACTGGTGGTTAGCATGCTCTCTCTGGTAATACTGCCTCAAAGACTGAAGTCCAGAAACACTAAGGGTTATAACTCTAAGAGGTTTAAGTCTGCAATAAATTGTAGAACTCTAAGTTGTAAATAATTCCCAAACCATTGTTGGGATTATTTTTACTTACATGGTTTTTTTCTAACTTAACTACACTTAGCCTCCCGGGGTCCGGAAGTCTCATACCATGTGCTTTAAGAGCCTGTGTTAAGGGACAGAATCTCAGCTGGGGACACCTTTTAGGCCTAACTGTTTTGTCCTGCATGAGAAGTTTTTCAGTCCAGTTTTAATTCTAGGTAGCATCTCTGACCTACATGTGTGTGTTTAAAATGTTCTCCCATTCTTAATGATTTATCTGTATTTTTCCTGTCCTTATCTTTTTTTTTTAAATTTTACTTACTGTTACATTCTACATATACACATCTTTTGGGCTGCTGTACCCCTTCCACATTGGCGTAATGGGAGTCCCTACTAGGCTCACTTTATTCTCAGGGCGAGGTAGCCTGGTAGCATACATCCTGCGTGTTCCAGTCAAACTCTGAGCACAAAGCTATTGACGTTGCTAAGATATCACTGAGAGCCAGGTCCATGTCTGGGGTGGTGAAACAGCTACTACATGAGAGTTTTTTTTAAATATCAAAAACTAGAAGGAAACAAATCATGTTAGCTATCTGCCTCTACATGGTAGAATTAGAAGACAGAAGGCAGACACCAGGCTTGGAGTAGAGATAAAGGAGGCCGATGAAGTGAACAGTTAATTCAAGATGAAGCTGGAGTAGGCAGGGAGGGGACAGGAAAGGTATCCAGAGTAGGTTCATCAGCCACTCCCTGTCCACTCCACAGCATGACATGGAAAGGCTCAGCTAGGTAGACCAGATACCTAAAGCAGGCTTATCTAATAAATGAACCCCATGGAGCAGGGTCATGGGCAGTACACCACTGGGAGCTACCTGGAGACCAAGCCTGAGTGTAGCACTGAGAGTCCCCCCCCCTGCTGCACAGTATTTGTTTGTAAGTACTCTTTTTTATTTTTATCACTATATAAAGCATCACTCCACTTTTCCTTGGTCCTCCCAGGTACCAGGGAAACCCCAACACTCCAGTGGCCCTGGTGGTCCACATGGCCCCAGAGTCTGTGCTCATGGACAGCAGATACCAGCAATGGATGGAGAGGTATGGAACACAGGGTAACCCTTGGGGTATATTTCTTCCTTTCTGAGTGCTGTCTACCCTCTCCCTTGATCCTGCACCAACCTCTGTGATTCCTGCTTTGGAGTATTTTGGGAGAGCCCCTCTGTGGTAGTATGGAAAGAGCCACCAGTAGGTGGCACAGTGTGCAAACATTCCCCTTTGTACAGAGCTCTGTTGTTGGTCATGGTCACCCGCTGTACTCTTGGGGTGTCTTTTAGTTGACATTCCACTGGTGCATCCTAAAGAAGAGACTTACCAATAGAAAGCAATCATTTCTGCGTACTGAACACCCATTTTGTGTCAGGCATATGTTACGTGCTGTACATTGCAGTCGTCTCCCTCTCCTTTCCAGCAAGCTTGTCTTGTTGGGACATTTGGTAACTGGGAAGAGAGCCCTGTTCTCTTTCCTCATGGTTTCATAGGCCAAGGCCAGCATCCAATGAAAGAGTTGAACTAGGTGTGTGTTGACTTAGGTTGCTGTTTGCCACTCCCTGTTTCACTTCATTTTTCATAAAAGTATTTATTCATACTTTACTTGTTTTAGTCTTCATGACAACTGGGACTTAAACCTAGGACCTGGACACTGTCCCTAAGCTTCCTTTCTCAAGGCTGGTATTCTACCACTTTGAGCCATAGCTCCATTTTCAGTTTTTCGGTGGTTAATTGGAGATAAGAGTCCCACATACATTTTTGTTCAGGCCAGCTTTGAACTTCAATCCTTAGATGGCAACCTTCTGAGTAGCTAGGATTATAGGAATGAGCTACCCACACCTGGTTTAACTTTCTCTCCAAAGGATTCACAAAGCTGAAGGCTTGCATGGGATTCTTCTCAGCTGGAGCAAACAATTGACTCAAATCTACCTCCATCTTTCCACGCTCCCATAGCTTGCCTGTCTGTGCCTGGTGGTTTCATTTTCTTCACTTTTGTTCCTTAAGGGTTTAAATCATGATATACACCGTATCTATTTTCCTCTTCGGCTTTTCTCTTGCAGCCTGTACTCCATGTTGATTTCACATCCTTATTTGAAAATCTCTTTATTTTTGCTTGATTATTCTCTCGTCTTTTTTTTTTGTTCTTTGTTTTCAAGCAGCTTATCCTAAGGACAGCTGCCTTAGGGAGAGAACCCTGGGGCCTTGAGGCAGAAGCAGCAAGATCATGTTGGGCTGTGTTGTAGATACTCGGGGGCGAGTGACTAATACGGCTGTCTTCTAGGGCTTTTAACCTCCCTGTGCCATCCCTGAGGTGAGTAGTTCCCTGATGGACACTCTCGTTTCACCTTAGGTTTGGGCCTGACACCCAGCACCTGATCCTGAATAAGAAATGTCAGTCAGTCCACAATCTTCGCAGCCACAAGATTCAAACGCAGCTCAACCTCATCCACCCGGACATCTTCCCTCCACTCACCACTTTCCACAGTAAGGTAGCGTCCCGGAACAGTGCCTGTCCACCAGCTCCTGTCTTTTTCCTTTGGCCACGGACTATGTTCTTGTCTCTTTCAGGAGGAAGGGCCGGCTCTCAGTGTGCCTGTGGTTCAGGGTGAATGCCTCCTCAAGTACCAGCTCCGCCCCAGGAGGGAGTGGCAGAGGTGTGTGTGGTTCTGCGCTGAGGGCTCCCTCTAGGCCAGGGCTTGGGGAGCTTTCCTACAAATGGCCGGATGGTGGGTGTTTCCATACGTTTTTCTCACCATGTAGTCTCAGAAGAGCCCCAGACATGGGGCTGGGAAGGTGGCTCAGTGGTAGAGCGCTTGCCTTGCATGCCTGAGGCCCTGGGTTTGATTCCTCAGCACCACATAAGCAAAAAGAAAAAAAGCCGGAAGTGGCGCTATGGCTCAAGTGGTAGAGCGCTAGCCTTGAGCTGAAGAGCTGAGGGACAGTGCCCAGGCCCAGAGTTCAGGCCCCACAACCGGACTCCAAAAAAAAAAAAAAAAAGAAGAGCCCCAGACAGTATGTAAATGAATAGGAACGGATGTGTGCCCACACAACATTGATTTAGGAAAACAGCCTGAGTCATGTCTGGATTGAGCTGGGATGATTAAGGACAGTATTTACCCTTTTAAAAATTGTTTTTCATGGCAACAAGTACAAGTTAGGGTTCATTGCTTTCCATTGCATTTCTTAGAAACTAAGGCATGTGGGACAGTCACCGGCCATCCTGCCACCTGGTGTGATTCTCATGCTATGTTGGTATTTGTGACTGTGGGGATGTATTTTAAAAAGCACATATTTGGGGTTTTAGGTTGACATTGTTCCTTCATTGTTAGGCTCTAGTAACATGATTTTAATTGGATTTTCAGATAGAGATGTTTACTCAGTAAGTCAGTTCTTTGCTGCAAATGACATACAAATCTTTGAATGGAACAGTTTCCACTCATAGATGTGAGATTAGTGGGTCACGGTGTGACACCACTTTAGGCCCTGATAAACATAAAATTGCCATCTGGAACGCCTCAGCTGCGACTCTTATTCTTGGAGATCTGAAAGCACAGTGATTGAAGTGTCCTGGCCACTTGGTGTCAGCAGTTAGAGTAGATCCTATTCTGGACAGTGACTAGGTGCCATGTGCTATCCTGAATACCTGTTAGCTCTCCTGGAAAGACCCTGGTAGGACTCAACAGCACCTCCTGCTGGACGGCTTGCCATGTCCCTTTGCCAATCTGCATAGGCTATTAGGATGAGGTCGTGGGGACCTTCATCAGTAGTCAGGTTCATTGTGTGCTTTGTGACAGGTGCAATTCTTGGGACCTAGCCAGATCTATAAACTAGGTTCTGGAGAGTTAGTGCTTAGTGGTTTTAGTCCCAGCCAGGTTGTGCCCAATCTAAGGTTAGGACTCAGTGAGGTTAGGACCAGTGACGCGGCATTCGCGGGAGGCAAACGCTTACAAATGTAGGCTTCGTTTTCCCACAGCTAACAAGTCAGGGTCTGCAAGTTCCCAAGAATAGCTGAGTGCACCTGAATTTGAGTTACTGTCTGGGGCCACGCTTCCAGTGGGCCATGGGTACTATAGAGACATTTGTAGGTGACATGATCTTGGGGAAGTGATACTAGAGGTTAGAGGTCGGAGTACTGCACAGGACAGCCCCTGTCACAAAGGAGAACCATCCAGTTCTGAGCATCATTAGGGTCTGCATGTCAGGCCTTGAGGTTGAAGCGGATTATGAAGAGAAAAAAATCCATTCAGGGCTCTTAGGGATAGAACCCACTTAGCTGAGAAAGGTTCCAGAGGCAGAATAGAAGTCCCTAGGATTCCACTGAAGAAGGTTCTAGAGGTAGAATGGAACTCCCTGATCTCAGCTGAGGAAGGTTTCAGAGGCAGAAGAGAACTCTTCCAGTCTCAGCTAGAAAGTTCCAGAAGCAGAATAGAATTCCTCAAGTCTCAGTTGAGGAGGGTTCCAGAACCAGAATAGAACTCCCCAGGCCTTAGCTGAGGAAAGTTCCAGAGGTATAACAGACTATTGCAGGCCTCAGAAGTTTCTAGAGGCAGAATAGAGTTCCTCAGGTTGCAGTTGCAATGGAATCATCTTCTCAGTTGATGTGAAGGAACATTTTGTTCCTTGGATTTATCTCTGCGTGTAAACCAGTATTTGCAGAAACCACACAGCCACCTTAGTCACCCAAGATGCCCCTCTCTCTGCAGGGATGCTATTATTACTTGCAACCCTGAAGAATTCATAGCCGAGGTCCTGGAGCTCCCCAACTTCCAGGAGAGCGTGCAGGAGTATAGGAAGAGCACGCAGGATAGCCTGGCCCCAGCAGGTAAGCCAAGACCAGGGAGCCCCTCCTGGTCTCCTGTATGCAGGAACTGTCACTACCTTAACCAGGGTGTTGACATGTACATTTTATCTAACCTGACTTCCTTAATTCTAGCATTGCATTCAAATGGTGCTCAAGGGGCTTAAAAATACCAGAGCCCATGCCACATCCAGACCTGTAAACCCAATGTTTACCTGTAAACCCAATGTCAGGTGTTGTTGAGGGCCTTTCACGCTCATTCGGCTTTTTTGCTCAATACTGGGTGCTCTACCACCTGACATACCTCTACATAAGGCTTTTTGATACTTATTTGGAGATAAGAGTCTCAGGGACTTTTCTGCACAGGCTGGCTTTGAACCTTGATTCTCAATTCTCAACCTCCTGAGTAATTAGGATTGTCGGTGTGAGCCACCAGCCCCTGGCTCTGTGGAGAGCTTTAAGTGGCACTGTGCTGACATGGGTCGGGTTGTGGGTTTGGTGAGGAAGGCTCATGGAGGTTTTGGTCAGGTCACTCGCCACATGAGCTTCTCATGGCCCATCAGGAGAAGTAGCTAGAGGGTTTGTTACTTCCACTCGTGCCTTTAACAACACACTTCTCACCAAGAGATAATGCTTAAAAGGAGATGAGGGAATAGAACAGAGTGGCAGGAGGGGCCAATTCAGCCAGCTGACCATTTGCCAAACATAATCCGTGTGGAGGTTGGCACCAGGCAAACCAGCGGTGGCCAGCACCTCACCTCCTCTTGCTGTGTGTGTCGCTTACCTCTTGGAGTTGATTTCCTCCTTTTATGATTGGAGTTCTGATGTGTGTGTGTGCTGAAGACTGCTTGGTCCATGAGAACTTGTAAAAAATGACAGGGCCTGGTGGACTGGGTGAACTGAGAAAGGGGCACAGGACTTGGGATCCCCAGATCTCCCTGGGTTTGACCGCTGCCTGACCCCTTCCTATTTCCTAGGAGGCCGCCCTTCCATTCCTGCTTCCCCCTGTGCGGAAGTGGGCCCCCGTCCCTCGGGGTTGTGAGGATGTTTATATGTGAAGTGTGTGGTCTTACAGAAAAATCAAAATGCCCAGCAGATGCCCACCCTTGGAGAGTAAATGGCCCATTCAGAACATTTCTTCATTTAAAAGAAATTAGAGGCTGGGTGCTGGTGGCTCATGCCTGTACCACTAGCTACTCAGGAGGCTAAGATGTAGAGGCTCAAGGTTCAAAGAAAATCCTGTGCTTGAAAGTTCTTGAGACTCTTACTTTCAGTTAACCACCAAAAATGCCAGAAGTGGAGCTGTGGCTCAATGTAGAGTACTAGCCTTGAGCAAAATGGCCTTAAGGGAAAGCAACCAGGCCCTGAGTTCAAGTTCTAATACTGTACACAAAAAAAAGAATTAGAGATTGTTTTTAAAGAAAGGAAGGGTGTATTGGCTTCTCCACCCAGTGCCTCTTCCTTCCCGAGAGCCTGCTATGTCACGGGTGAGGAAGGAGGGTGAAGGCAGGAGTCAGGGCTTCACTGTATTGCTTACCTACCTTGTCACTGAAAGCTGAGACAACTTTTCCAGAGAAAAGAAACCAGTATCCAGAAGTCGTCTTCCTGGGGACAGGGTCTGCCATCCCAATGAAGATTCGGAACGTTAGCGCCACACTGGTCAACATAAGGTACTCCTCCTTTGACAGTAAACCTCCGCCCCTCAGAGCTGCGAGCTGTCACCTTGGCTAGAGTGTCTGAGAGCAGAGCTGGAGTTCTGGCTTTACTGGATCGTGTAGCCACTCTAGCAACCTTTTACCTGTAGAGTTGCCCCAACTCATCCATTGATGACCTTTCATAAGAAGAGCCAAGAAATCATGTCACTTTGTTTTCTCATTAACTGATGGGATAGTAGATATATGGAGTTTATGGATTGGTATTCTAACTATTTCAACTCCTTAGTGCTGGGTCTGTTTACGCCATGGGGGTTTGGTGCACTTAGGTGTCCCGCCCCTCCTGGATTCCCTTTGACATGCGGTTTTGCTTGATGCACTGGGGATTGCTGGAGGTCACTTACTGGCAGGGCTAAAGTATGCATGCACCTCTACAGGGTACATGTGTGAAGGAATTGGGATTGTGAGGCACAAGGTAAATTTCTCATTGTTGTTTTGGGTGCCAGTGGTGGATGGGAAACTGCCAAATAATGCAGCAATGGTTGGCAGCGGTGTTATCACTGCTTTCCGGCCCTGTTCCCCAAGATCAGAAAGTGCAAATCTAGGGCATAAGAAAAGCAGTAAAGCAGCTCAGGGCAAGCTGGTCTGTCCTAAGGACTTCTCTGGTTTCTGATCTTCAACCCTGAGCCTGGCTACCTGAACCCGTGGCAGTTAATCAGAAGGACAGGCATAGTCTGTCTCTGGGAAGGCATTGCCTTTTCCGGGAGGTGTCTCTTTGAATGGGTGCTGTCTCTGTCTTCATGCTCCCCCAGAAAAAGGAAAACATGCCCAAGGGTGCACCTCTATCTCCACTTGGGAGCAAAGTCTCCAAAACACACTGCTCAGCATGACACTGGCAGAATCAGGCCCTCCGGGCTCCTTCTGAGAGCTGTTTATTCAGCCCTCACTGCCTCTCTGGAGGAAGCACACATAGCTCTTCCTCTGGCCCATCTTATCACCTAGCCTGCACTGGATGGCTTTGGGAATGCGGATGGGAAACTGGGACTGCACGGAGAGGGGAGGAATCCTGTGAACAGGAACTGGAGACAGTCTTATGTGACAGAGTGACATTGCCACCCTGGCATTCTCAGACCTGTGTGTTTCCCCCCTCGTTCATCACCTGCACACTGTTGTCTCTGTCCTTCAGACCTTTTTAAAGTTACTTTTATGGTTCAAGTAACTGGATTTTATATCAGCTCCTCAAGGAAAAGTCATGAGAGGTTCCGTAGAGGTGGGAATTTTCATGGCTGTTGCCATTTTGTTAAGCAATCTGAAGCATTTCCTATTGGTAAGTCTCTCACTGTCTCCTGTAGTCCTGACAAGTCTCTGCTACTGGACTGTGGCGAAGGCACGTTTGGGCAGCTGTACCGCCATTACGGAGAGCAAGTGGATCAGGTCCTGGCGAACCTGGCTGCTGTGTTTGTGTCCCACTTGCACGCAGACCACCACACAGTAAGTGGGGCTGCCTGCACCCCAGAGCCTTCGCCCTCAGGGAGGTGCTACCTCCGCTAGGCTGTGTGTTAGGCCACTTTGCTGCTGTTACCAAACTTGCTGTGGCTTTTACCACTCATCTCTTGCTAGATGAAGGTCCAGCAGTAGGGATACAGCCTGGTCTGGCCAGTATGGGTGTCAGCTTCACTTAGTGCCATTCATTTTTGCTGGTCCTTGGGCTTGAGCTCAGGGCCTGGTACTGTCCCTTAGCTTCTTTGTTCAAGGCTGGTGCTCTACCACTTGAGTCACAGCTCCACTTTGAACTTTTATTTTGGTGGTTGCTTGGAGCTAAGAATATCATAGATTTTTCCTGCCCAGGCTAGCTTCGGACTTAACTCTTCTGAGCTCCTCCTCCTGAGCAGCTCACATTACAGGCATGAATTGTTGGCATCTGGTGACTCAGCTGTTACAGGTTTTTGCCTTTTCCCAGCTGGCCCAGAGGGAACTGGCTCGGTGTGGGTGTGGCTGTGAGGCCCTGGCTTTGGTCTAGGGCATACTGGACCCCTGCCCAGTGCCCTTTTTTATTACCCATGTCTCATTGCATTCTGCCTGTACCATTTCAAAGCTAGTGTGCTACACCCACTAGCAGGGGTGATTGAGGGGCCAGGCACACAGGGCTGGGAGCTTGTCAAGTGAGGACTCCAGGGCCCCATGGGCTTAGAGACTGTGGACCTGGCTGATGCAGGTCTCTCCATTGCAGGGCTTGCTGCACATCCTGCTAGAGAGAGAACGTGCCTTGGTAAGTGCTACCCTTGTCAACACTGGGGTTTTGTAGGGTTTACGCTTCTTCAGCCATGTGGGCTGCTCCAAACCATGGCCAAGGAGTTCCTGTGGTAACTGCTCTGGAATTTCATTTCAGGCAGCCCTAGGGAAGCCCTTCCACCCCCTGCTGGTGGTGGCCCCCACCCAGCTCAGACCCTGGCTGCAGCAGTACCACAACCAGTGCCAGCAGATTCTGCACCATGTCAGGTGAGTGGCCCATGCTTCCGTGGCTGTTGCCTTCCAGAGCCCACGGTCCACACCAGGGCAGTGAGAGATGCTCCTGGCCCCTCATCCTTCAGTACAGAGCCCCTCCACGTCAGAAGGTGGGGCAGAGGGGAGATGGCCCCATGCCCACCACACAGGGAAGGACCCCATTTGCCCATGGCCCGCATTGCTTGGGCCAAGGGGAACATTTTGTTGGTTGTTCTTTACAGTTAGGGAGATAGGGGCTGGTTCTTTTTGTTTGCTTATGGTGTCTCTGTCTTACTGGTTGTGATTTAAATTGTTTTTCTCCTATAAGAATGATGGGTGCCCAGGGAGTATGTATGCAGGGCTCACCCAGGCTGTCGCTCACTGCTAAGCCAAGCAGAATCTCAAAACAGTCCCCCCCAAATTGCACTGAGGATCTGAGGCATGCAAAGCAGAGAGGACCTTTGGGAGAAGCCCCCTGCTTCCAGCCCCCACAGCCCAACAAAAAATAAAGACATTTGTCTGACTGGGGGGGAAAAAAAAAGAATGACTGGAGACTTTCTAATCCCCAGACTGGATTTAGATTGCAAGTGTTAAATGATTTTTTTTTCTTTTTTTCTTTTTTGCTGGTGCTGGGGCTTGAACTCGGGTTGGGCACTGTCTATGAGCTTTTGCTCAAGGCTAGCACTCTACCACTTGAGCCACAGCACCACTATCAGCTTTTTTGAGTAGTTTATTGGAAGTAAGAGTCTCCATAGACTTTCCTGCCTGAGCTGGCTACAAACTGTGACCCTCAGATCTCTGCCTCCTGACTAGGATTTCTGGAGTGAGCCACCAGTGCCCAACCTTAAATGAGTATTTCTAAATGTTTTATTCTAAGTAAGGTATGCGTGTGTGTGTGTATGCACATATGCATGCGCGCGTGTGTGTTGGTATTGGTCTCGAGCTCAGGGCCTGGGAGCGGTCCCTTAGCTTTTTTGTTTAAGGTTGGTGCTCTGCTACTTGAACCACACTCCACTTCTGACTTTTCTTTTTCTTTTTTTTTTAATTGGTCGTGGGCCTGGGTGCTGTCCCTCAGCTCTTCAGCTCAAGGCTAGCGCTCTACCACTTGGCTACAGCGCCACTTCCAGTTTTCTGGTGGTTTACTGGAGAAAAGAGTTTTACAGACTTTCCTGCCCGTGCTGGCTTTGAACCTCGATCCTCAGATCTCAGCCTCCTGAGTAGCTAGGATTATAGGCATGAGCCACTGCGCCTGGCTACTTCTGACTTTTTGATGGTTAATTGGCGATAACAGTCTCACAGACTTTCCTGAATGGGCTGGCTTCTAACCTCAGTCCTCAGATCGCACCCTCCTAAGAAGCTAGGATTATAGGCATGAGCCACTAGCACCTAGCTATTATAATTTTTAAATGCTTTGACTACTTGCAGTATGATTCCTGCCAAATGCCTTCGTCAAGAAGCCGAGGTCTCAGACCCCTCAACGGAAAGTCTGATCCGATCACTGTTAAAAACCTGTGATTTGGAAGAGGTAAGGGAGCCTAGCCACCTGCCCCAAGGAGAGCAGGAGAGGCAGGCAGGGCAGGATGCGGATCTCCAGCCTGCCTGCTCCTTCAGTTTCAGACATGCCTGGTCCGGCACTGCAAGCATGCTTTTGGCTGTGCACTGGTGCACACATCTGGCTGGAAAGTGGTATACTCTGGGGATACCATGCCCTGCGAGGCTCTCGTCCAGATAGGTAAGTAGAGGAAGAAGTGAACTTCACTGGGTCCCCTGATGGGGGGCTGGGGAGGGGGCACATGTGTGCACATGTGTGCAGAGGATAACACAGTCAGCAGGTGGTTCCCACGCTCCTTGTCATCTGGCTGCCATCCTTACATGCAGACCCAGAGAGCTGAGCTTTTGGGTCAGGTCATGGTGGGGGATTCTGGCACCCACATGTTGCTCATCCGCAGGACTTAGCCTTGACACTGTTTTGCTCTCTAGGGAAAGATGCCACCCTGCTGATTCATGAAGCCACTCTGGAGGATGGCTTGGAAATGGAAGCCATAGAAAAGACACACAGGTAGCCAGGTCCCTTTCCTCTGTCAAATGCAGCCTGAGAAGCCCAGGCCTGTAGGACAGTGTCCTTCTGAGGGCTCTGGCTATCCTGGGCCCACAGCGAGTCTCAGGAGTCTTGTGCCTCTTATCACAGTTCTGTAGGCAAGGGTGTCCAGAGAAGCACAGTGTTTTCAAAGTCTGAAAAATTAGCTAGATTAAAAAGGGAGTCACTTCTAGGAGGTTCTAGGGAAGGATGGCGGGGAGGGTGTCACAGGGGTTCAGTATGGAGCCGTTTCAAGGAAAGAGTTCTTGGAACCTAGCAAGCCCTAGAGTTTTCCTCCGATTGAGCCCGCAGCCAGTATGGAGTGTGGACCTCCCTCAGGAAGTGTGAGAAGGTTCCAGTCCTAAGGAGCATTTGCACTGGTGAGGAGGCACCAGTGAAGGACATCTGCTCTCCATCCCTAGGTCCCTAAGCAGCAGGAAGGCTAGGGTTGGGGCCAGTCCTTACTCCTCTCTCCAGCTTCTTTCTGCCCTGTCTTCTGCCCACAGCACCACCTCCCAAGCTATTGGTGTGGGGATGCGGATGAATGCAGAGTTCATCATGCTTAACCACTTCAGCCAGCGCTATGCCAAGATCCCCATCTTCAGCCCTGACTTCAACGAGAAAGTCGGAATCGCCTTTGACCACATGAAGGTTGGCCTGTCGCTCAAACTGTGAGGGGTGGGGACATGGGGATGATGGGCTTTATCTCTCACTTCCCTCCTGGGCCAGGGTAGAGCACCCACTGCTGTCCATCGCAAGTCCGTGGGTCACAGTGCCCTGTAGGATCTTTCAGAAATGTCAGGTTCAGATTCCTGAGCCTCTCTTAGGCCTGGACAGTTGACATAGTCACTGTGGCCTCAGCACAGAGCTGTGGGACAGGTACTCTCACCACATGAGTGGTGGGGCCGGGCCCATCCCTTGGGCCTTCCCAGTGAAGGGGCGGGGTTGGGATGACCTGGGCTTCAGGTTTTAGGAGCTTGATTGAAACGGCGGGGGGGGGGGAGGGGGGGGGGGGGGGGGGGGGGGGGGGCTGCTTTCCCTTTCCTGAGGGTTGTTCATCTTTGCTGCCCTTGCCCAGGAGAAGGTGCTTTCTTTGGAGGGCTTGTCCCATTCACCACATCCCCCTTTCAAGCAGTAGTTGCTGGTTTACGAGTGCGTAAGGAGGGGGAAGTGGACCTGCTATGGCAGTCTCTGCACTTGCAGCCCCCTCCCTCACCTGCCTCTCTGAGTGTGTCTCTGCCCTGTCTGGCCCTCCAGATCTGCTTTGGAGACTTCCCAACCGTGCCCAAGTTGATTCCACCATTGAAAGCCCTGTTTGCTGGTGATATCGAGGAGATGGAGGAGCGCAGGGAGAAGCGGGAGCTGAGGATGGTACGGGCTGCCCTCCTGTCTCAGGAGCAGGCGGGCAGCCCGGTGGACAGGGAGCCCCAGCAGAAACGGGCCCATGCGGAGGGGCCGCAGAGCCCACAGAGCAAGAAGCTCAGAGCCCAGTGAGCTCCAAAGGCTGCATCTTGTGCTCTACATGGCACCGATGCCTGCTTCTCTCATCCCCGTGGGAGTCCGAGAGTGCCTTCTGCCAGGAGGAACGACTCAGGACAGGAGTGTGGAGTCCTGCATGGGTTCTGGCTCAGCATTGATCTGCCAGACACCACCCATGACTGGTGCCTGACACAGCTGCAGGACAGGAGGCTGTGTGGTGGAAGACAGTGGAAATGAGGAGTCACACATGGAAATGGGCAGCGCCTTACCTCTAGCACACTGGTTCCCTTGGCACACTGGAGAAGCTGGTTAAGTAGCCCAGACTCCAGAAGTAGTATTCCAAAGAATCAGGTGCAATAAAGCTTGAGTTTGGAATCCAAGTTCTTTGGTGCTGCTTCAGAACAAGGTCTTCAGCATGCGGGATGCTCAGCATGCCCAGGAAAGCATCAGAGGCAGAAGAGGCCTGTGAAGCCCATTTCCAGACACCCATCACCCCTCAATATGTCCTGGTCTGGTAGTAATGGCAAAAGATGCACTGAGTTAGCGCTGACTGGGCTAGGACAGGCAGGTATCCAGACACCATCCTTCCCACTCTTCTGGGTAAAAGTGGAGACAGGCCGGGCACTGGGGGATCACACCTGTAATCCTACCTACTCAGGAGGCTGAGATCTGAGGATTGAATCAACCCAGATAAGCAAGTCCCTGAGACTTTTAACACAAGAAAAGTTGGAAGTGGAGCAGTGGCTCAAATGGTAGAGCACTAGCAAAAGAACTAAGGCACAGCGGTTCTAAGTACTGGTACAAAAAAAAAAAAAAAGAGGAGGCAACTGACTTGTTCTTTTTTGCCCATAATGACAGAATGTTTGCCCCAGAAGTATTGCGAAATCCCACATCGTGCCCACTTCCTTGCTTTCCTAGGCAGGATTTGAAAACAGGTTAGTGCTTGGTCAAGAGAATGTTCAGAGTTAAAGCTGGATCTATGTGTTCATCCTGAACACAGAAGTATGTGGAAAAGGGCTCTAAAACCTCAGGGGATATAGGAGAGACAGCAAAAATTTGGTCTTCCTGGTGGAGACCTTCAGCTCTCCCATAGCAACACCCAGTACCAGTTAACTTCCCCACAGCTGCATTCAAACAAGGGCATACACTGAGCTCAGGGATAATAAATCTATTTTAATAACATCAGTTTTGACAATGATTTGTACATGTATTTAAAGATAACCTTCAACCCCTGGGCTCCGATACAAATTGGGGATTGAATTGCCCTTGCCAGGAAGTGAGCAAAGCTGTAACATCAAAACTCTTTGCCAATCCTGCTCTCAGAGAAGGGTGACTTTACACTGTTGGGGAAAAAAAAAAATAACTAAGCATTTAAATTTTTCATTGTACACCTGTACACTGATTTAGATTGAATGGCTCAAATTAAACAAATATAGAGAGATCTCATATATACAAATATTATATCATGTATAGGTATATTATATCTTATTTTAAAAGGATAAAACTTTAAACTTGGACTTTGCATGCATGGCCCAGATCTGTTTCTCACTCCCTTAACCCCAAAGTGCAGGTGGGCTTCCCGGCGCCCTCTGGCCAACCCTGCAGAGCTGGCTGTTTTCGTGAGGGGGATGAGCTGAGCGTTGCGTGGCAGGAGCTGGGGGAGTGAGTGGTCTGCCCCACAGGCCACGTGTGGCCCGCGGCTGGACTCGTTTCACTTCCCTCTATCTACCTTGGGGTAAACAGAATTATTGCTAGTCAGCTGTAACCTCTAGAAGGGAGAGATGGGCTCCAGGCCCCCACTTTGCTAGGAGCTTAGTGCCTGGATGGGCAAAATGACTGTTCGACATCTAATGAGTTTTGAGGGGGGCCATGAGGAGCTACCTGGGATCCTCCAGACATGCTCAGGATACTTCTTTATTCAACTCAGAAGCACAAAACAATGAGTATAAGGGCTTTTTAGTAACTTGGGGGGGGTGCAAGAGGAATAAAAGTGCCAGGAAATGAATGCTTTAAGCCATTAGCTTTGGGTCCCTATGATTAAGGGTAGCCTCAAAGGTATTTTCCATGAGCCAGCCCTCCCCTGAGCATCAAGTGAAGGAGGATAGGAATCAGGAGTGTGCATCTCTAGCCCTGGTACCCCCTCCTTCCTCACTTCTCTGGCTGTTGGGTGGGTGCTGTAGGACCTGACAGCATCTGTCCCTGCAGGTGTAGCACAAGTGCTGTGGCAGCACCCTCGGGTGTAGCTTACCCTCTCCTGCACCCCCACCCTGCACAGCCCTGGGGAGGAGATGGGTGTTGCTTAGCAGGGAAGCTGAAGATGATCAGAAATAGGCACGAAGTCAAAAGGCAAAGATCAAACAAAAGGCTGAAGTCACCACCCAATAGGAATGAACAAAATCGGCACCACCAACATCTGCCACACGGACCGGAGATTGTGCTCTCCTGCCAGACTCCAACCTGGAGTTGGAAGTGACGGCAAAGGAACCCACAGAGGATCCTTGGCAAGCTCAGGGACGCTGCTCCTGGCGGCATATTCCCCGGGCCCACATCTGTACAGGTGCTGGGGCGGGGGCTGCATCAGAGGGCTGTGCTCTCCGATTCCTCCTCTGAGTCCCTCTTGTCAGTCACCGAGTGTCGCCTTGCGTGCTCCAGGGGGCTCAGGCGGAGTGTTGACCCCAGCTCTATGTGGATGGAGGGGATATCAAAGTGGACAAGATCTGCAAGTTGGTAGAGAGAAAGAGAGGGAGGTGAAAGAGGCCTCTGGTCCTGAGGACCAAATTGAAAGCAATCTCAGTCAGCGTGAGGAAGCAGGTGGCTGGGCTAGTCTAGGGCCAGACAGATCATTTATAGAAGTTGCCTCCTCAACAGTCACACTGGCTGAATCTAGCAGTCATTCAGACAGAGAGGAGAGCCAGGACTGCTCAGCTGGACTGCGCTTGTTTTCTGATAAGCAAGAGTTCTTGGGCAGGCTCCAGTAGCACCTTTGGGGACTCGTCTCAGCCTAGACTCTGCAGGGAGAGTTTGAGACAAGAATAAATGTGGGAACCCTACACGGGTATCCTCACTCTTAATAAACAGCTGCAGTTAGGGGCAGCTCTTGAAGCTGTGCTCTCTTCTAAATCCTGACTACAGGAAATCCTCTGCTTCCATCCCTATTAGAAGGGGTATGAAGTCCTAGCAAGAAGAGTCAGACATCACAGCGTTCAGTGTCTAGACATCTGTGAGTCAGCAAAGATAAGGCCGAATTACCGAGAGCCATCAACTGAGGCCACATCGGCCACTACTGCTGCTGCCTGAGGCTGGGAGCTTGGGGGTTCTAGCTCACCGACACCCAGGGCTACAGGAAGGGGGCTCCTCTGGACCCCTTCCTCTTGGTCACACTATTTTCCCACCTCTGTCCAGCTTCTGCCTTTCAGGTAGTCTTGCTTAATAACCCAGGCAGGAGGTTGAGCTCCAGGAGATGAGGTGGAAATGTGGCAGGGACCAGGCTCTGGGCCATACTCAGAAGGTGGGGTTTTGTCTTTGTTGTGTGTTTGTGTGTATGAAAAACAAATGTTCAGACTGAGGAATACCATACTGTGTGTACAGACATAAACTTGGACATTGTCCTAAAAGACATTATACAGACACCAAAGCTCTGGACAAAACTCCTCCCTCACTCCACCCCGCCAAGTCTTCAGAATGGGGTCCAACCTGCCTCTGCCTTGCTGCCTGATTGAGGAGCAGATCTTAAGGGGGTTTGAGGCTTGCTTGGCTTAGCCAGTACCACTGGTTCCCCCTGTAGCAGGAAGCTCTTGTGCCTAACAGGAAGTCACTGGACTTTCTGCCCCTGGGTCCGCTCTACTGGATGGGGTACCTTATCAGAAAAGAGCACAGGATCTTCCTGCTTGGATGTAAACACCTAGGCCTGTGTCCCAATAGGACTGTGTCCTAGGACAAATTCTTAGCTTCCCCGTATGTCAATAGAAAAGGGAGTGATGAGGAATGTAGATACAGTAGTTCAGAGATGGCATGGCACTGCACAGCCTGGCAAGAGGTCCTAATGGGAGCTGTCTGACCTTGGTGGGCCAGGGTCACATAGCAAAGGAGTGGCATTCCTGGGTAGAAGGAAGGGTGCTGGGCCATCTTGCTTCATGGCAGCTCCAGGAGTGTCCTTGGGAGATCAGTCTGTGAACACCAAATACCCTGTAGCTAATCTACAGGCCTACCGGCACAATGGGAGGGGGGGCCCTGGTTAACTCTGGCCTCTGCTTCTTCTTGAGGCAGAAACGCCTCATTTCTCCCCGTCTTCTCCCTGCTCTTTCCTTGTTTAGTTTTGAGCTTGTATTCTTTCGGGGAGGTGGTACCAAGCAGATGCTGATGCAAATGCTTCCCAAATGTTTTGTAGTGCTGGAGAGGAGTATCTGGGGAGGATGAGTCCTAAGCATTTGTCTGAGGGTGAATCAGGGTCACCAACATGGTGTTGGCTTCTTTGCTGCTCTGGGCCTGCTCTGTACCTACTCCCACAGGAACACCTTCCTAATAATCCCATGTGTGCAGGGAGAGCATTGGGAACATGTCTGTCATCTGTGCAAACCATACAGCTGAGGGAGAAGGGGAGCTGGAGCTGGTAATTCAGTGAGTGGAAGGAGACGAGCTAGGACTGCCAGGATTTTCCCCAAGCTCAGTCTAATGGAAAGACAGATGGAGGAAGGGGGGTGGGGAGGGGGTAAAAAAGGCCAATCATCTCAAAACACCAAGGAGACTCCTGGCTCAGCTGGTCCTGGCTGAAGTTGGGGAAGGCCAGAAAGAGTGAAGCAGGCATGCGATTGTTTGGCCTGGGCCACATGCAGAGAGAGGAGGGAGCTGGCAGGGCTGGCAGGAAGGCATCAGAAGGATCAGGCGACGCTGGGCATCGGCCGGGCAGCTGGCTGGGCTGGCCGGGCTGGCCAGGGGAGTGGAGTGGTGGCGGTGGAGCCGGGGCCAGCTTACCCTGAAAATCCCCCTCACACGTATCCAACACTGCGTCACTCATGTTACACAGCTGCAAGAACACAATGATAGGATTCGGAGAAAGGAATAAACATGACGAAAACACGGACGAAACAAAAACACTGCGGGTGCCACAGTCCCAGTGGGGCACAACAAAATCCTCACTGCTTTCTACACTGGTTCAGAGACCTGTAGGCACAGGACGTGATAATGGGCTGCTGCGGCCAGAAGAACATAGAACAAAAGGGGATGAGGGGCCGAGGTGTCACTGAATTTGATGGTTAAGTCTTAAAAAGTCTGCCACGGGAAATGAATCATTTCATGCCCTAAGGGTGCTACGCTTCCTACTGTTCTGTGTTGCCCACCTGGGCCCTCTAATTTCCTCCCCTATTCCGTTCTTTCCTGCCTCTTGGGGCATCCTATGTTCAACCCACAGCTTACAGTGTACACTTCTCCTTGTGTCTCTATCCAGCCCTTCTATCATGGCTTACCCCAGAAGCATGAATGACTCCTGAGAACTTCCAGGGGCTGGATGCACATGACATTCCTCAGGAAGAGGTTTCCTTAATTTTTAAATAAGCCTCCAAGTAGATGGTAGTGGCTATATATTCAACATTAACTACAGCCACAGATAAAGATGCCAAGATGTGCTTTCCAATAACACTGAAACCTGCCTGCACTCTCACAAACGCCTGTACGCTTGCCTAGTGGGGTTTTTTTCCCCCTTGTTTTGTTTTTGTGCCAGTTCTGAACTCAGGGCCTAGGCACTGTTCTTAGTACTACTTCTGACTTTTTGGTGGTTAACTGGAGATAAGAGTCTTACAGACCTTCCTGCCAGCGGTAGTTTTCTCAGAACTCAGCCTCGTGAGTACCTAGAATTACAGGCATGAGCCACGGGTGTCTGCCTTGCCCCGTGTTTTTATCTGGAGCAAAGAGTCAAGCCCCACTAGCTTCCAGCTGACATTTAGTCTAAGGAAGAAAATGTCACCTTTTGGGAGGATACGGGGCAAGAAAGGGTACCTGTGAAGGACCTCAGGGTACCCTAGACCCTAGCACCATGTTTTCTGTGAGGTGACATGCATGGTAGCTGAGCAAATTGCATCCTTGGATCTGAACTATCAGGTGTTCTACTGCCGAGCAATACACCAGCACAGGGGTTATGTAGTTTGTAGGTGTGTGTAGCACACATTTGTATCTGTATAGCATGTGTGTTGTATGTTGTATGTGATATGGATTGGGGTTTGTTATGTATGCATGTGTGCTATGTGAGCTATATGTGTGGTGTGTACAAGAATGTGTGGGGATGAACTCTTTGTATGAACACGTGCGCTGTGGGTGTGTGGCTGGGTACTGTATACATGTGTGGCACATCTCTATGTGGATGTGTTCTGTAAAGAAGGGTATGTGGATGTTGTGTATATTTGTGGCTGTATTTGTGTGTGTGGATGTGTAGATGGTGTCCGCATCAAGCTGCCTAGCCCTTTGCTACCTGGGACAAACACTCTTCAGGCCCTGGCCTCTGGGGAAATGTGCTGGCTCCATTCCAAGACTCCGCTCGCACCTTGCCTGTCTTCCAGAAGTAGGGAAGGCTCCAAGGACTAAAGCAGGGGACCACAAATCTGTTCCTGACTTTTCTAATCTCATGTGGCCCAGATGTTTGGGGAGACATTTAAAAAATGTCCCGTGTTTTCCTCAAGGGGTTGTGTTTTCTCTCTCTCTCTCTCTCTCTCTGTGCCTATGTGATTTCATAAGTACACACTTTATTGGGGGAGGAAACACAGCTTCATCTTTGTTTTTAAATTTACAACAAACGAGACTGGATAATTGGGAGTTTGCCTAATCCACTGCTGGAGGAATTGTGGTGGTGGTGGTGGTGGGCAGGGTGGGAAGGGAATGTGTCTTTCTGAAGGTGAGGCCTCCTCTAAATACTTATTTAGAGATACATTTTTTTTCCCAGCAGAGCTTACTTTACTCCTAGGGGAAATTATCTTTGGTTCTTGGCTCCTGCTTTCCAGATGAGTCTCGGCACCTGCTCTGCTGTTGGGGCGCTGTGCGAAAGACGAGGCCCCACCCCTGCATCCTGACGCCAGGTATCTTATGACTGTTACCAGCTGCTCCTGAGGCCTCGGTGCTCAGAAACAACCCTGGACTGGTGGGCTGGGCTAGGAGAAACCCCATGAAAAGGTGGACCCCCCCAAAAAAAAACCCCACCCAAACCAAACCAAACCAAACCCAAACCAAACCAACTCAGTTCCAGAGCTGCTTTACATTGTCCCACTGGTGGGTTCTCAGAAGAACCCCTTGGGAGGCAGCCCTGGGGCGGCCACAGCCAGCTCACATCATGTGGGCCTCTATTACCTGGAAGGGATGCTGTTGGCCCCTCCCTGGCGCATTTTGTTAAGGTTCATGGGAATTTTCCAGAAAGCCCATGACTCGGTTACCTGTAGACATGCTTTCCCCTGGGGTCATGCCATCCAGCATGGGGTGCTCCGTGGACTGAGGGCTGGAGGCTGAGAGGCTGACCGTGGGAGGCTGCGGTGGCGGTAGGGTGGGTCTCTGTCGTGGCTTTGGGGTGGGCCTTGATTTGGCTAAAGTGCTTGTAAAAATGGAAGGAGAGGCCAGAGGAGGAGCTGCAGCTGGGGAGAGCTGGCCAGAGGCCAAGGAGTATCCTGGAGGGTAACTCAGTCCATAGGGAGATGGGGTGCTTGGGGGAGTAGGAGATAGGCTGACTGGGGATGGCTGGCCGGTGGACTGGTCAGTCACTGTCCCTGGCTGGCCAAAAGGAACCTTGGGTGGAATTGGTGCCAGCTTCTTTGAAACTGAAAGAGAAAAACACAAGACACAAAGGTGTAAGGTGTCCTTCAGGGTTTAACGTGGTCCTTTTCAACCTCCTCCTCTTCTTCCACCCCCATCCCCTGACTTCCTGTCACACCGATAATAGCCAATAGAAATTTAAGTGCACCTAGATTTGCAAGTGTTCTTATCTTTGCACCTGTTCCTCTGTACGTACACACACACACACACACACACACACACACACACACACAGAGTCCATCTGGAAAAAGAACCTTCCATTAACTGGTGGTGAGTGGGTGATTTTTCCATCTGAGTGTCACCACATTCAGAGTGAGTCAATGAAGCCAATTCCAATGGCCAATTCAAATCATCACCATGAGGTCAGCACTCAGGGACAAATCCTCCTGCAGGAAACTGAACTTCAACCTAACCAGCCCAGTGGTGTGTGGCTTTGGCAATGGTATGTGGCCTGATCCTGTCACTTTTAATTTCCAGCCTTAACTCTGCACCACTTTCCCTGGCATAGTTTTTTGTTTTCTTAATTTTTAAATGAATTAACAGACAGCATTTGTGCTTCTTTATGCACTGTAATTCAATACACAAATACAGTGCATAATGATCAAATCACAGTAATTAGCATTTCTATCTCCTCAAACATCATCACTTCTATGTGTTGGCAACTTTCCAACCTTCTCCTCCAGTGGTTTGGAAATGTATAATTAGTTGCTGTAGAAAGACTATCTTTACCACAGTGTGCTATACTATACTCCCCTACAACTGTGTTTTGACATCTGTCTCTCTCTCTCTCTCTTCTCTCCTGTCCCAGCTTCTGATCACAGACTTTTTTCCCTTTCTTTTCTTTCATGAATTGTGTCCTCTGGATATCAGAAAATATAGCTCAACTGTACTCTTTTTCAGTGTTGAGGTCTGAACCCAAGGCCTAATGTGTGCTAGGCAAGCACTCTGCCGCTGAGCTACAACCCAGAATCTTTCCAAACATATCACTGACCCAACCTCTTCTCCATTCCTTTCATTTCCCTCTCCTTATTTACTGAAGCTCTCTAAAGGATGACAAGTACATGATACCTTGAACTGAAAATGAATTGGGAAACATAGCCAAGGCAAACATTCAGAGGATCCAAGTGAGGGGTGAAGTTTTTGAGAAAATGATTATTGGACGATGATAATTAAATGAGATCTGACCATGGGTACCAGTAACTCTAGAAGAATCTGTCTTCTAAATCCTCAGGGAGGCATTTGGGCATCTCCTTCCACTCCCCACATCAACCCAATCCATCCATGGAACAGAACCTTGTCTAATTGTCTAAGGATATCTCATGTTCCCATGGCTCGTTGGCCAGGAAGAAAAAAAAGCACCTGCTTTTCAGGTTGCCACCTTGGGTTCAAATTTCTGTCCTACTACTTATCCACGATACGCCCAGGGGAATGTATTTAAACTGGTCTAAAATGAGAGAGAGAAAGGGGGAGGCACAGAAAGGGAAGGAGGAAGGGGGAACAAATATAATCGTGCTATTCAGTATGGAGTGTGGAAAATGAACTATGTAACTTGTGAGCAGGGATGGGAGGGGAAAACTGGGGGAAATCAAAAAGAAGGGGTGACACTGCCCCCAAACAGAAAGGTACTCATTACCTGACTTATGAAATGGCAAGCCCTCTGTACAACACCTTAATGACAATAAAACTACACTTAAGAAACATGAAAAAAGAAGTTAAATAAATGAGCCTCTTCCATACAACTGGAAGACTACTCTCTTCCCTATAGTACTGATCACACATCTGAAAAACTTCAAAATCAAAGCCTATTTTTTTTTAAAAAAAAGCATTCAGTTTTCCAGTTTTCTACTTCTTGACTATGGGGTCAGTTTTCTGGCTTTGCTATTGAGGTTCATGACTGAGTGTGCTTGGACATGCACAAGACATGAAGTCCTGGAAATCTTGGACATGCTCTTCTAAATGGGCGAAAGTGACATCACCCAACAGAAGAGACACTGCTTTGGGGTGGTGACAGCATTAGAGCATGATGTTCAATTTTGGGTTCAAGGTCAAAAGACAGAGAGATCAGAAAAATAACTGCTGGGCATATTCAGTGTGGGTGGGGATGGAGAATGGAGAAGGAAGTTGTGCCTTTCAAATGACATCTTTGATCAACTCAATGTCTCTTTAGAAAGGGACCTGGAGGCCAAGCACCAGTGGCACATACCTGTAATCCTAGCTACTCAAGAGGCTAAGATCTGAGGATCATGGTTCAAAGCCAGCCCTGGCAGCAATGTCTGTGAGACTCTTATCTCCAATTAACCACCAGAAAACCAGAAGTGGTGCTGTGGCTCAAGTGGTAGATGCTTGCCTTGAGCTCAGGGACAGCATCCAGGTCCAGAGTTCAAGCCCCATGACCATAAAAACAAAACAAAACAACAACAAAAGGGACCTGGGTTACTCTAGGCTTTGTTTGCTGTGCAGGTCCAATGTGCTGCAACTCTCAAGAGGGTCACCCTGGCTCTGACATGAGGAAGGTAACTGGCTGTGCCAGGAGCCTTGATATTACCACTGGATGAAAGAATGGCTTAGCCATCATCCACACTCTGAAGGGTTGGAAGAGTCATAAACAGAGATGTGCAACAGGACAAGAACACCATGTCTGAATGGGAAGGAAAGCCTACTAATGCTGGAAATGCTAAAACCCACCAATGCCATTTATTTATTTACTTATTTAGTGCCTGTCCCGAGGCTTGAACTTAGGCCTGTTCCTGAGCTTTTGTGCCCAATGCCAGAGTTCTACCACTTCAACCACAACTCTACTTCCGTCTTTTTGGGGGTTAATTGTAGATAAGAGTCTTGTGGACTTCCCTACCTTGCTGGCTTCAAACAGTGGTTCTCAGATCTCAGCCTCCTAAGTAGCTAGGATTACAGATGTGAACCACCGATGTGCACTACTGCCTTTTTGACCCAGTTGCTATTTAACCTTCAAGATGCCATTTCTTCTGGGTCATCTACCTTGAATCCTGAGTCCAGATAAGGGAGACTCCATGTGTCCCCATGGTGCCCAGATGCCTCCTGGCATAGCAGCACCATGTACCCTTGCATTATAGTTATACTTCGCTGCAAAGCAGAGCTCTACACATACCAGGGCTTTGTAAATATTTGTAGTTTGGATAAGGAATGAAAGGGCACGGGGAACCGACAAGGTCCAGGGCAGGGTAGAGGCTTACTAGAAGAATGGTGTTGCCATGACTCAAAAGGGACCTGGGAAATGTAGATGCGATGAATCTAGCCCTACTTGACCATCTTGGAGTTGAAACCAATCCTAGGAGCACAAAAGACCCAAACTGAGAACAAATTAAATGATACGCAATTTCAGTCAAGAGACAGGCTTTGCCGAGAGGTGAGAGGTGGTAACAAATTAAAAAAGGCCTGGATAAGATCTCCAACAGTATACCTCCCCACTGATGAAATGTCACCGTACAGTGTCTTTGGCTTTGGGGAATGGTTCTCCCAAGAGATTTAACTGGGTCCTTACTATGGGACAATCCTCACAAGTTCCACAACAGAAGTATTGGAGATCTGGCTTTGGGGAAAAACAATCCCAACTTCCTCCTCTGACCTCACCTTGGTTGGCACTGGGGCATGGAGCTGGTGTAGATGACCACATACAGCTTTGTAAATGCTGGAGGAAGGTCTGGTAGGGCCATGGGAGAAGCATGCTATGGTGTCTGTATTGTTGGTATCACTTGTTATATGGGAAGCATTGCCCCATACTTTCATAAGCCCACTTTTCATGTAGTGATCTGAAGAATGAGGGTGAAATATAGCACCTCTTTGGATTGGTTAACTTCTCAAAACTTGACTGATCTACCTAGGGACTATTCACTAAGCCACACAGTTTCTAAACAGTATGCTTTGAAAGGGATGGAGCCTTCAGGAATGGAACAGCCCTCACCAGCCTGAGACTGGGCAGAGGAAAGAGGTGACATACCTTTCCGGAGAGTGTGGGGACTCTGGTCTGCGGGTGGCTGGCTCGGACTGGTACCTGGTTGTGGCCCTGGCTGTGAACCTGGACAAGCTGTCCCCTGGCTGGAGCTTGGACTTCCTTTCTGACCAGATCCCGGAGACAATTCCTTGCTTTTAGATGTACTGAAAAGCAAACACACAGGTCAGAAAAGGAACAGGTGCTTGGTCAGCCTCAGCACCAACCTGCCAACTCTGATTCTATGTGTTCTGGGCCCTGTTCAAATCCACACCAGTTCTGGTTTGTCTCAGTCCCTTCTTAAAACGTTCAAAGCATCCTATGAGGTGACTGTCCCTTCCTGGAGCTCTGGTGATACGGGCTCCTCCCTAGCTTTGTGGACATGCACTGCCAATGGTCTCTTCCCATCTCTGCCTTGAGGAGATGACCCTTGCGCATCTCCCTGCATCCTGTCATCAGTACGGTTACCATAGGTTGTTCTGAAGTGGGAACTGCACAGTGTTCCTGTCTCCTCCTGTCCCTATGGCATTATAGAGCCAAGAGGACTTTCCAGGGTCAGTGTGCCAGCTAGGGCTGATGATAGCTCTGCTTCCATGCTATAGCTCTCTAAGCTGTTGCCTAGGACTCTAACCTAGCACATGCAGGTGAGGAACTCTAGGACCTGCCCTCATACTCGCTCCACAGAGACTAGGACCTAGCTATGTTCCTGTATGAGGACCAGTTCAAGCTCCAGTCCTTCAAGCTTAGAATAGGGTCACGATCAATGTCAGTAAGGAACGCTGGCCTCCTGAGTCCCTTGGATCAACAAAGAAATACTCAAATTTACCAGAAAATTCACCCATGCTGTTAAGCTCTTTCTCAGGTCTTCTCTTAAGGACAAGATACAGCAAAAGGGTACCCTATTGAACTGTACTGTACAGACTACGGACCAAAAAACACAACAAAAAAACAAAAACAACAAGAACCAACACACACACACACACACACACACACACACACCAGATCATTAACACACACACACACCACACACACACACCAGATCATTAACACACACACACACACACACACACACACACCAGATCATTACCCCCTGCCAGCCTCTAATGCACCATTCAGGGGAAACATTGCAAACTGTTCTTATGGCTGCACAGAATGTCACTTCTTGACAGCAATCATTTCATTTTGGATAGCCTTGACTGAATCAGAGGGGGTTCCTGGAATGGGACTTAACTGCTATGCTTCCTGCCTGGATTCCAAAACTCTTGGAGGGTGTGGTGGGCAGGGCCTGGTTACCTACAGCTTCCATAATAGCTGTTTCTTCTCCAAATATGGAATTGGAGTGAATAAGAAACTACCAATAGAAATATGGAACTCATGGCTGCCAAGATATGCTGAGAAAGACGGGGAGCAGGGTTAGAACAGGAAGGTCATCAGTGTACAAGCAGCTTTCTTATTGGAAGGAAGAGAAGAAGAGAAGACCACAGTCACAGTGCTGGCACTTCCTTTCCTTTGAGAAATGGGAGAATTTCATAGGGAAAAAGGTCATTTTTATCGAAAGCAACCTGAAGAGCAAAAAAAAAATGTCTTTTTTTTATTCTGCTAATAAAAAGCAAACCCAGAAAACTGTCTTTGTTCAGGCTGAAGAGTTCAGCCTGTCTTTTATTTTTTCTCAGGTTCAAGGTCACAGTGTATCTGGGTACTCATGCCCAACCATCTATCTCTCCTTCCACCCATCTCTGCCATCACTGAGAGGAAGTGAAAACAATCAACTATGGAAAGCACCACACAAGAAAGTCCCTACCCCCAATCTGCTTCCTGTAGGGTTCTAGACTTTTCTTGCTTCTTTTGACTGGAGATTGATCTCTTCTCTGACTTCCTGCTCAATATACTTTCTCCAGCACAGAAACAAGTACCTATTTAACCTGTTTTTTCTCTCAGCACAACTGTAGCTGACCCAGCGGTGGTGGGGGGAGGGTAGTGGTGGTAACAAGTAGGGCAGAGAGTGGTTACTGGACTGCTAGATGAAGGCAGAGATAAGGTGCAGGTGAGGACAGGTTAGTTCTCAGGACAGGGACTCAGTGAGCAGAGTTTACTGTCTGTGTTATTGCTGAGCAGCAAAGTAGGACATGAAGGCTGAGTCTGGCTGGACAGAGCCACCAGCTTGGGTAGGAGAACTAAAGGCAGAGCTTGGGGCAAAGAAGAGAAGAGATATCCTGTGATCTTCCAGCAAGGGGTAGACATGACAGGAATTTGGCAGCTGGAAGCAACGTCACTTGTGCTGCAAATATCCAGAAAACAAAAAGCAAAAGAATGGAGCTGGACATAGGGATTAAAAAGTACAGGAAAAAGCCCCGGATGAAAGAAAGCCTTAACACACAAAGAGAAGCTGCAGAACCATATCCCCGGCATGAAAGTGGGAGAGCAGAGCAATATATCTGACACTGTGAGTCACTGGCTATCAGTGTGGGGAAGAGCGGGTGCTCCCTGCCCATGGGTTCTGCAAGGCCACCCACCCATATCATCTCTAGAATGCCTTTTGAGCCTGGAGAAACCCCATCCTCAAGGGGACCTGTTTTAGAAATACCATCTACATGCCAAATGCTCTATGAAGTCCCTTGTATGACCAGAGTGATGGCAGCTATTGTCTGAAGAGAGGATCACCGGAGCATATCTGCCTATATGTCCTTTTCCTTCAGGTCAGCCTGTCTATCCATCAGTGTCTACCTGTGCTTCTCCACCAAACTCCCTCTGCCCATCGGCATATTTCAAGTGAACCTGAAGCCCAGCAAATCACAGTCACAGTTCTAATGTTCATTGATCTTGCCTGGAATGTGCTGGCTGGGCTAGTGTGCTCTCTTTCTCTCTCTCTGTATATCTCTCTCTTTTCCCTAAAAGAATGGTGATACACTCCTGCAACTGATTTGCATTCACTGTGGCAGCAACAACTGCTAACGGCACTCTGCATCGAAAGGCTGCAGATAGGGAGGAAGAAATACTATCATTCTAAAATTTCAAAATAGGGAAGTTACAAAAGGAAGTGGGATCCGGAGAGTGGGCTTCGAGTCCTCTGTAGCCCTTTAGCAGGCTGCCGCCTTCCATGTCTGCTTGGGGATGTGATTCTTGGAAAGCCTAGATGCTTCCTGGCGATCCAGGATGCTGTGGATGACGCAGAAAGCCAAACATGAATGCTTCCAAATGAGGATCGGGGTAGATAAGATCTAGGAGGCCTGAGTGGGAAGCGGCAAGCCCTGTGCATGCATGTGCACACCAGCCAGTTCTCCCTCTTACCCCCTGCCCCCAGGCAGAATCCGGGGCTTACCTGGGGCGCTCAGGCGTGGGCTGCAGGCCAGCAACAGATGGGGAGAGCACAGGAGCTGCAGCGGGGCTGTCCGGGACCTGCTCCAGCAGGGGTGATGGCAGGGGTGCAGCCAGCTCGGCAGGCGGGGCAGGAGGCTGCATGGAGGGCGGGGCGCAGGATGCTTTCCGGCCGGCAGAGGAGCCTCTTCGAGCCACCCAAGACGTGTCCATGACCCTCACGCCCATGCTGGCGAGGGACACAAAGACACCTGCTTACCCACGCCTGACAGGTGGCAGGCTCCCTCCCCCATCAAGCGGAGACATTCAAGCAGGTCCAGGTTAGAAGAGCAGCAGCCTTAGCACCCTCCTGGGCTGGAAAGCAATGTGCAGGGGGAGAGGGCAGCGATGCTCCAGCACCCAGGCGGCTGGGGGCACAAAGACACAGCCCTGCAGCCCAGGAGGGGCAAGATGGCCCTCCCATGACACCAAGGCCCACAGCAGGACACAGTCAGCAGCTTGGAGGTCCACAAGCTGTGTTTCCACTCTGCCAAAGCCAACTGGCCTTAGGAAAATAGCCCGACAAGCACCCTGGTTGTGGAATCCAAGCCATCCTCAGTGCAGAAACGTGGTCTTACTAGCTTGGTAGGGGGGTCACTTGCTCCTCCCAGTTGTAGGAAGGAGGTTGGGGGAGGGGGGCAGGGACAGAGACAGATGGGACTAGAACACTAACCAGCCAGCAGGAGACAGCTACAGAGGCCTCCTTTTTTGAACCCGGGTCTAGGCCCAGCTCTGTCTCTGCTGGGGACCCTGGCAGATCAGCCCTCCAGGGGTCACACCAGCTTATCTACAAGACAGGGAAGGGGCCACTCATGCCTGAGGTCCCTCCGAATTGATTTGAACAATGGGCACACAGCTTTGAGTGATGCGGCCAAGCAACCAAACATGGCACCACTCCCCCTCTACACACAGCTCACTACCACATGGCTGGCTTAGTTTAAGAGATGACACGTGGCCTTGTACGCTACCAGTGGATACTGTACCTTTGGATTTTCCTAAGGCTGCAGGGACAGAAACATACAGATATTAGTGTCAATAATCTACACCTTCCTTTGGACATAAAGGTTGTATTTTTAAAATTTTTTTCGCAAAGGGGTCTCTTGCCAAGGGCAGGATCCTGGGATGAGGTTTATGTGGTGCTGTGAAATCATTACTGCTTAATTGGTCTCCAAGTGACTTGGAGTTTTGTACAGGTAGAGATCATATAGATGGATAGCAGCTGCAGAGGAGATGTGGCTGTGAGGCTGGGGGGACAGGAGTTCATAGGGGACAGAGAACAGGGAAAAGCAGCCATCTGTCCACTTATAGGTTAGAGGGGGGTTAACTCTCTGTTCAATGATCTAAGAGGTAACTGGTCCTGTATCCTCAACCCAGGCATCTACTGGCTAAGAATTCCTACTTCCAGTATGGAGGGAGACAGACATTTTTGGAGGGAGAATCACTCAGAGATAGCATCTGTTTAGGTTTTCCTTATACAGGGTGGAGTTAGGAGGTGAGGTGGAGGTGGGGTGCTGACACATGGATACTGTCTCCTCTTCCTACCAAATGGGGGCATGGATCAGAAGCACAAAGCTGTCACATGAACCTTGTAAAGGTACAGCAAGAATTTTATTAAAAAGTTCATGTTCAGAGTTGGGTTGTAGCAGGTGGGATGTGGGCCACTGCAGGAAATGTATGTCAGGGACATACTGTGAAGGAGGGACATGATGGGAGACATGCTTCCTTTGTCTGGTAGCTGGTATTGCTTGCCTCTCCTATGGCTTCAAGAAGACACCTGGGACTGGAAGATGCAGGGGAAGGAGGACCTGCTAGCTTTCAGGTTGTATTGCACCTGAAGATGCAAGCTCATCTCCCAGATGTCTAGAAATCCTCTTGGAGGCCACTCAAAGCTCCGGAGAGGAGTCCACTGTGTATCCTCTGGTATTCAAAGTAGGTTCTTTAGGCTTTAGAACTGATCAGGATGAAGGGAAGAAAGAGCTCATTTTTCCATGTGGGGAAAGGAACCAATGTCACTTAGCTGCCACGGTTGGCGAGGATGGCAGGCATGGAAATGTTTCCTGAGACAGCAAAAAAAGAATTCTGACTGATGTTAAGTTCTACCCTTCTCTCCTTCCTTGCCCCATTCAGGACCAGGACTGGTGAGGATGGATGCCTTCTATTTCCATGGGCATCTTTCAGGTTCAGTAACCTCACACTCCACGCTTCCTGACAATGCAGTCTACTCAGGGGAGAAGCCAGCTTGGGCATGGGCTAGGTGCCAAGTGAACCCTGCTAAATGTCAGCAGGTGAACAAGAAGAGCTGAGGGTGTATTTCTGCCTTTTCAGAGAAGCTGCTGAGCTCCACAGAAATATCTGCTGGGCCAGCTGCAAGTGCTCTTAATGGAAGCCATGTTCACAGCGAACATATACCCAATGTCCACCGACATTTTTAAACTGTTAATGTAAGTCTTTACAAAATGAGTCAGTCACAAAGGCAGCAGCTATGCTTGTGGCAACTGAAAAGCACATGAAACAAATGGCTACCTTGAAATGTCTGAATGTCTATATCAAATGCAACTACGTATTATGAAACTGCCCAGTGTACCACCAGGATTCCCCATGAACCTCTGCTTCATGCCAACGTTGAGAGGAACCAGTTTTTAGATCCTTTCTAGTTGAACCCAGGTAAAAGTGAGAAGCCAGAGAGGAAGACTATCTAAAGAGCAAAGTGTTGGGAAACCATGAAGCAGGAGGCAAAGGCAGAGTCCAGGAGATAGTGTGTGGCTCTTCTGGCTCCTTGGCAGCAAGGTTGTAAGGGATGCAGGGCGTACAGGGAGTCAAGCTTAAATTGCCTATCTCTCCCTTTTCTCTTTTAGGCCAATGAGACGAGGGTGGGGGTAACCAGAGTTGTCACCACCCAAGGCTGGGACTCATGTGGGTAAGCCAGTCTTCAGTTCCAGTCTGAAACGCTCTGTCCCTTCGTATTCCTCCCTGTACTTCCTACTTGGGTGAGATTCCTCATAAGCCACACTTTTCATCTGTCAGAAAGAGGTAAATAAAGAATAGGTTCTGAAGTGACGAAAACCTCTGGCCCCAGTTATACCATCCATTCAGTCCACTGAACTCGTTCATTCAAGTCAGGAAGGGAATGTACCAATAGCAGATGTAGGGAGTAAAGTATTTAACATGCACTTGAAGCACTTACTGGTGGCACAGCCTGAGTGGTAACCTAATGGGCCGCAGGGGTGTGTGAAAGAGGGTGCTGTGGTCCTTGGAAAATGTGTTGGAAGCTTGGTTCTCTGTGTGGAGATGCTGGGAGGTGGTGGCACCTTTAAGAGGTGGAGATTACTGCGAGCTGGACTGGGTCACTTGGAGCACTGCCCTCAGAAGGGATTGAGGAAGTTCTCTAGGACTCTAGTTCTTGTTGCAAGACAGTTGTTACAACAGAGCAAGCCAGGTCCTTAACGTCCATGTGGCTTCTCATCTTGCCCTGTGATCTCTCATGGCTTTCACATGCCATCACACAATGGTGCATGTGGAGCAGCCAGGTGGGTCCTTACTGGAGCGAAGAAGCCTGTGCTGCTGGCACTATGCCTTTTAACTTCTCATACTGTGAGCAAAACAACTTGTCTTTATAGATCACCAACCGCCCCCCCCACCCAGGTATTTTGCAATCACAATGGAAAATGAACTAATATAGACAGAAAACCCAAGTGTGTCTAAGAAGAGATTTTTCTAGCTAAGCCAGTGGCATTAGCTGGAGAACTGAAAAGTGAGTATACATTTTTGTTTGAGAGGATATGAAAATCTGGGAGCTGGTTTGTGTGAGTGAGACACTCACCTGAACTATACCAGGGATTTTAGCTGGATTCCCCTTTATTTTCCCGTTCCTAAGTCCTAGAACCATGTAAGTAGGAAGTCAGCATCCCCTGCTCTTAAACACAGCTGGACCCACCTTACTAACAGCTCCCTAGAGGACAACAAAGAACCCACCCATAGAAGTGGGATCCTCAGATTTGAAGTATACTTCCATTTACCTTGGCATCCTAGACTGTTGCAGGTAGACAAGTATGTAGGTTATACTTGCCAGACAGGTAGTAAATTGTATGTTTTGTTTTGGGTTTTTTTTTTTTGGAGACCATTGTGAGAAGATTAAGAGACCAAGAGAGCTGTTTCCATGATATTCTCTTAAAGCCTTTGATTTTGTGTTAGTCAGACCATTAACTCACCAACTCTGTTCATCACAGCACACTGGGCTTTAAGAGCGGAAAATGTTGTTTTTCAAGACCAGACTTCTCAAGTACTAACTACCTGAAACAGATGAGTTACCTCTGGTCATCTTTTTTTTGTCGGTTGTGGGGCTTGAACTCTGGGCCTGGGCGCTGTCCCTCAGCTCTTCAGCGCTCTACCACTTGAGCTACAGCGCCACTTCCATCCTCTGGTCATTTTATATCAATTAAAAGTGACAATTTCTCTTCCTTAAGGCTGTTGTGAAGAACAAATGAGACACTGTTCATATGTTCCTCAGCCTTCACTATGACCACTGACAATAGGTTCAGCACCTTTTTTGTGCCAATATTGAGTGAATTCAGAACCTGGGTACTGTCCCTTAGTATGCTTGCTCAAGGCTTCTACTTCCAGATTTTTGGTGATTAATTGGTGAAAAAAGTCTTATATAATTTTCTGCCCAGACTGGCTTCTAAGTTTGATACTCAGATCTCAGCCTCCTGAGTAGCTAGGATTACAAGCGTGAGGTACTGGCACCTGGCTAGGTTTAACAACCTTGATCTGAATATACAAAAGGCTCCAAAATCTAAACCATTTTTAGCCCTGACATGATGCCAGAAGTGGAAATTTCTACACTCAACCTCAGTGGCACGCTGCAAAAGAAACAAAAGTACACTATGTAAAACTAGGCCATGTGTATACTATGCACAAGTAGATACAAGTGAAGACATTTCAACTGCATATGAAAATATTCTAAAATCTGAAATACTTATGGCCCCAAATATTTCAGATAAGAGAAACTCAACCTTGTAGAAGTCTCCAGAGTAAGAATGTCCTGTCCTTACAGGACATAGGACTTAAAAAAACATTCTTCTTGGACAAAGAAATAAAGAAAGTAAGGTGTGTGTGTGGTGATATACACTGGTGGAGGCTGCACTGGTGAATCAAAAGCCACATGAGATGGAGGTACTGAGTTCATAGGGT